CCCCCCCCCCCTCCACCCTTATCTTAAGGTCTGGATCCCCACTGCATCCAGCTATAGCCTCCCCGACCCCACTCTAGCTTGCAATTCTATTCTATATTATTTACGACGTTTTGAAGCTTAAAAATCGAATAAATCAAAAAGTATTTTGATCAGCACTGCTATGTGTCTTATTTTGAAACTCTCTTTTTTAGTCCGCATATGTCAGCCCCCCATTTTTCGGACATTGTCAAGAATTAGGGAATAAACTCAAGATTTTAAATGAAGCAGAGGCATATCACAAAGTACTCTATAATTATTCAAAATGGCGGCGAGCCGGAAATTAGAAAGCAAAATTGTTCATTTGCGGATCAGTTTTTGGTCACATCGCTTTCTCTACAAAACAATGGAATTTAAGCCTCCCTCCAACACTGAGTCAAAATCAAATTGCTATAACAGTGGAGGATTTCAATGAATCAGAACAAGCTGCTGACGTCGAAGCGTTCATACTGAGAGAGGACTTCATCAAAATTGCCCCATCATCATTTGTTGGCACATGTGGCATATATGAGTAAGAGAAACGTTTTTAGTCTTGTTATTCTGCTATCCTTCGTATCGGCCATCCTGGACTCATTCGACCTCAACTGATTCCGGGTATTAGACGGATATTGGGTAAACTTAGTATCTTGTTAAGGAATTTGTATACTTTAATTTTACTCTATGTTAAGATACATTGTATAATAACCAGTCTGAACTCTCCGTGGGATTTAGAAACCAATGAACTAAAATTATAAAAGCAACCACACGATGGCGACGGCGTATACCGTATAGCTCTAACGCCGCTGCAAATACCATTTAGGATTAGGCTTCTGTTCACAGATTGAAACGCTGATTTCGTCGCAGTTTCTGTATCGGTGCAAAGTTGCGCCGCGCCGATCTTAGTGGATCGTCAAATATCGGTATTTAGGTTTGGCACAGATAGCTTTTCACGTCGACTTGAAAAGCCTTTCGATACGTAGGGTAGACATACCCAGTTACCTACAGACTGAAGACACCCGAAATTAATTCCTTATTTTATGTTTTAAGGAGGATGTAAACACAAAAAGGCAATTATCTTTAAATTCGTTGAATTTGCATACGGTTTCGTACGAATGAAACCCTCAAAATTCGCCTGCGGCGAACGCGTTTGACAAATCGAACGAGCTGAAATTATAGCGATGAGACAAAATGGCGCGAATCTATTTTCAAGGACGTTTTAGCTGCCGTTGCCGTCGCGTAGGTGCCTCATTCCTACTGCAAAACTAGTGCGGTCGTATATGAGGGGTTTATCAGTATATCTAATGTAAAAAATATCGCACAAAACAACGGAAACAAACAAACACGAAAAAAAAGTAACAAAATAAGGGAGATGTGTGCACGGGCAATAACAGGGCGCAGTCACTGTCTGACAACTGACACCCGGCCCTATATATTAAAGCGCGAGGCTGGCCTCCATATTCCTATAACATTCATAACAGCAGACAAGTGAAATATCTGCATGTTTGTGACATTTTATGCCACAACGACTACTTCTCACGATGAACATATAGTTATATTGGGTTCTACATGCACCACGAACCATAGTTAATATCAGATTGGCTCCGCCATGTGGAACAAGTGCCAGTCAAGCATGGGTAGCCAAGTCTAAAACCTTCTTCGTTGTTCGTTTTGAAGTGTGGGCGCGCAGAAGAAACGCGAAAGAATCTACAATGCATTGCCAGACCAGAACGTCTTGGTAAAGACGGTGTATTAGTGACTCTAACGTCGGTTCACGATTTATCCTAACCGCGGAAAATTTCTCGCAAATATATCCCTTAGACACTACTAACAGTATTAATAACAATAGACCTTGTCACGGTTTTCGACGCCATCTTGACGAGTAGGCAAACGCGTCAGAAATTACAGTGTTGTTGAGAATCTAATG